GCATCCCCTGGACCCAGATCAGGGTCAGTCAAGGGGAGGAAAAAGGAACCCTTTAGGGCCGGGAACTCCTCCCCCGCTCCGGTTTTTGTTTCGCTGGGCAGACCCGCAGCTCCCCTTCCTCATTCTGAGCCCGTCCCGTGGGAACCGAAACGCTGCGGGGCCGGGAGCGGCTCCTCGGGATTTTGGGGACCCCAGGGAGGCTCTGCAGGAGCTCCCCGAGTGTCAGAGCAGCTCCAGGAACCCAAACCCAGCCCAAAACGGGAGCTGCTCCCGTCCCCGGGATCCCCGGGTTTGTCCCCGCCGTGTCCGAGCTGTGCCCTTGGCTGTCCCCGCCTGCAGCCGCCCCGAGGACTTTGATTAAAAAGCAGCAACCTGAGCACCCCCGCGTTAATTAAACCCCCCCGAGGCCCCGAGCCCGGAACGGGAGAGCCCCGGGAGCTCAGGGGGTGGCGCTCCGCTGTCCCCGCTGTCCCCAAGGAGCTGAAGTTGTTTGGGGTCCCGGGTTTGTGGGACGGGACATTCCCGAATCCTCTGCAGGGGAAACGGCTCAGGGAGCGGGAGCAGCCCCGGGACGAGCCGGGAGCTGCAAATGAACGAGTCCTGCAGCTCCTGGAGGGGGAAATGTCCCCAAAAGCGACMCCCAGGGCGGGCCGGGAGCCGAGGGCACCGAGCGGGGGAGGCTCCGCCGGTTCCTCCTCCGGACACCGACCCTGAACGCTCCAGGAGCCGCCACAAAGAGCCCTTTGTGCCCGGCCCGGCGGGGGCTGGGGCGGCCTCGGCCCGGTAGCGACGGGGAATCGAGGGGAGAACAGAGAAAAAATRACAAATGTTGGGTTTGGGGTGCGAAACAGAAAAATAACAACAAATGTTGGGTTTGGAGTGGGCCTTCCCCGCAGATGCGTCTGGAAATGCGGAATTGCAGGGCCTGGCACGGTGCAGGGAAACTGAGGCACGGCTCAGCCCTCCCTCCCCCGGCGCCGCGCGGTGCCAGCCGCTCCTTTGTGTCCCTCGGGAAGGCTCCGTGCCCGCTGGG